TAGTGACTAACATTAAAATCCTGTGCTGATACGTCATTCATGTCTCCCCCATGGAGCAAAAGTTGGCGGAGGAGAGCGTTCTGTGAAGAAGAGTCCGGTACCTCAATGATATGCGCTCCTGCGGTGACGTGCCTAGGAGATTGAGTGGGCAAAGGCTGTCCGGATTGCTGAAGGCTTGGGGAAAGGACAATTCCCAGATGACGGCCAAGTGTCACTGGCCGAGAAGAGGAACGTAAAGCTTTTGAAAGTGACGGGAGTGAATCACGACAACCACGCGTGACAGCCGGGCTCAGGGATCGACTGGTAGAGAAGTTCAAGGCAAAGTTTTCGGAGGATCCACTTAGAAAATTTGAGCTAAATCGGGAAGAAAAATGTACCTTTAAAGCCAAAAAACCGTGTCATTTGGGCAAATTATGAATCGTAGACAAGATCACTCACTTTAATTTAGAAATTTCAAATGCTTTCATAAGATTAGAGATGCTCTTAGCTTCGGTTTGGTCGCATTAAAATTTCACTGTATAGTTGGTTTGGTCTTATTCTCACAACTTAGTCATTCTTCCAGAAAGACTTCGAATAGCCTATTTTGTACTGTTTCCTCTGGCATTTGTGTCATTTGTCATTTTTTCATTTGTACTCAGTCAAAGGTCGGAAGTTGAAAGAATAAATGATAGCAATAGCAGAGGACGCAGTATTGAGTGTGCTCTTCGAAGTCGCCCTGAACACAAGTAGCAAGAACAAATGACATAATCACTGCTAAATATTAATATTAGCTCATTTGCTATTCACCAAGACATTCATCTGACAGACAACTACCAAAAGTGTTTAAACTGCCGCCATAGAGATTTGGCCTTTATCATCTGCGTTTGATGACAAGATAGCTGACCAATTTCTTAGCACAATGGAGTTTGTGACCTTTCGGAATGCATTGCGTTGTGAAATCCAAACCAGGTCACCTCTTTTCTTCAATCCAGCGTGCGTATAAAAATAGTTGTCTTGCAGGCAAATCCGATTTCCGATTGCAGCGACAAAATCAATATAAGAATAATGTTTCACCAACACGCGAATACGAAAAAGATGAGTAACTGCCATTGTAGCACACTGTATTGATTCAAAAGTAGACTATTTTCAATAGAGTCATTTATAGACAGAAATGATTCTCCATGCAATGGCACACGGGAGTGCGGGAAAAAGAAGTAAATAGCTTTGATGGAATTGAAACCCACTTGTCATTGGGATATCTTATTGGAATGATCAAGTTTTACGAAAACGATATGGGAGAGGGAATAATCTTTGTTAGGCCAATTACGCCTCAAGAATACACAAAATATGGGGCTGGCTACGAAAATGGATGTCCCAAAAGCTTCACCAACACAGTTAGGAAAGAGACCTGTATTAATAATCATAAACACAGTTGCCTCAGAGTGACGCCCATAGTGAAGATAATTATGAAGTTAGAAGAGCCTAAATAGGCATCCCAAGCTCCCGGGCAAGCAGAATTCGTCCACTTTAGCAGTCAAAAATTGCTGCCAGATATAAAGACAAAGCAAACTAGAAAAAACAATTCTTAAGCTGGCTAGGAGAAACAAAACCTGACCAAAATTGTCATCTTTTCAGAATAGACGTTGGGTCAATTCGTTATCATCTGCTCAAAGAAAGTGACCCTTTAGACATCATTAATTGCAAACCGAAGCAATTTGCCGAGTAAATACATAATTTTGACCTTAATTTGAGCTAAAGATAAGAAAACACAATGCAAAATCGAGAGTCTCTCCCCTTATTTTATTTTCAGTTATAAAAATTATGATATATGATAAGGTTGATTAGCGCTATTAACATGATTGATGCATAATACGTCCTAAAAGTCTGCGTACGCCACTTAGGTCTTACGTATAAAGACCTGTAGTTTAATCACCACTCAAAATATGTTGGTTTTTTTCTGAATTTGATTTCCAACCATGATTATAAAACTAAGGTTGAAATTTTGAAGTCAATGATCATTAGGATTATGCGACTAGCGGATAGTAATCATTTAATTAAAAAGTTGGAAACTAATTATCCTTCGGGGCAAATTGAGAATAAGTTCTTTTTACTGAGGAATAAATATTCAGATGGAGACTATTAAGTCAAAAATAAACAAGCTGAGATCTTTTCTCATGTACAAATTTTGCCGTCATGTCTTCTTTCCAAAAAGATAGGCGAACTGGTGAGAAAGTGTGGAATAAAAACAGTGTTCAAAGAAGCCCTTACACTTCCTTCGATTATGCCATCCTTTAGAGAGAAATATGACCCATTATTGAGATCCGGCTGCTACAAGATTGTGTGCTCCTGTGGTCAACCTTATGATGGTGAAGCATGCCGGCGCATATGATAAAGATTAGGGAAACACCTAAAATGCTTGCAAAAACAGCTGGTTCCAACAGTCAGAAGTGACTGAAGACATGCCAAAAATTCAGCATGAGATGGAACCATCACAAACTAGTTGGTCTGCCGATTATGGTCCGTCTGCTGTTAAAATGAAGATAAGAGAGGCTATTGAAACTAATAGATTAGAACAGTGGTTGCCAAACTTATCCTAGTCGCAGCGCCCTTTTTTAATTAAAATTTTTCCATGGCGCCCTACCCTAAGTATAACTATTCGTAAGAGAGAAAAATAAATAAAACTCGTGTATCTTCATTATTTTTTTACTTTATTAACATTAAATTAATATTTAATAATTAATATGATGGATGAGCCTGCAAATAACTGCACATTTTCTCAAATTAAGCTTTTACAATATTTCGCGGCTCCCCGGGGCGCCGCAGCGCACAGTTTGGGAATCATTGGATTAGAGAATAACTTGAATGTAAGGAACGCTGTTAGAAAGTTGAGTAAGAACTACTTATGCTTGATTGATAGATTGAAGGAGAGAACTGTTTTGCCGTCATCTAAAAGAAGGCGACTCAACTGATCCACTCATAATTCTAACTTTACTCACATGTCATTCATGTTAGATTAAACTGCCCAACCAAACCAAACGCACCAGATTACGCAACCTCAGTCAGACCTTTTCTTGGGCGGTTAAATCTTAATGACCCTACATTGAGAGGCTAGAAAAGTGATTTTGTAACTAGGACCAAGAGTTGCCTTACTTTTGAGATGATGAGATGTTAGCTTGTACTTGTGTGGGCAAGGTTACGAAATCACTTTTCTTAGCCTCTCAGTGTAGGGTAATTAAGTTTTAACCTTGTCAGGGGACCTTCATTTAGTATGAAAGTGCATGAAGAAGAGATTCGCTGGTCGATCTCACCAGATGAGGACGGATGAATCTCGTTGTACTGCAGCCGTTTGGATTTTATACAATATTCATGTTGACGCAGTACACGAGACTTTCCCCCTCGTTTCGGGTGAAAACGTGCTGAGTTTTCGTCCATCATATGATGGACATCATCAGAGCTCGGTTTCCATCTTGTAAAAGGCTTTCGTTAACACTAGACCATTAAGACTTACCGGATTTATCTTGCCTCTTATATAGACTCAGTTACGCCATAAGAAAATAAAAAATTAAAAGCCTAGATGGATATAGAGTGGTTTGGCTAATTATCTTTCATACTTGTCCTGTACTTTTGCTCGAGTGTATGCGTGTGTGTGTTAGCGTCTATACGCAATACCGGTCCTAAATCAGAGTTAT